TTCTTCGAGTAAGAAGAGTAAGAAGGTTAAGATTTTGCCTACAGCACCCAGCAGGGCAGGAAAGGGGAAGGCAAAGCCTACTCAGATATGGTCACTTGCATGTTTGCATTTGCATTTGCATTTGCATCTCATTTGGCACAAGACTTGGCTCATGTTGACCCAGGAGAAGTTGGGAGTAGTACAGACCAGTTTCGTGGTCAAGCAGCTTTAAGCATGTCATGAATATTACAGATTTCGGATGGTTCTCCCGGATTCTACAGTATTCTTTTACTTTCCATACGCCTCCGTATATTTGTAGTATAATCTAGGTATTGAGTCTGACATGTATATAAGGAGCTCGTACTGCTCAATAACAAGCCAGACTCAAGCTGGTCTTTTCTCACTCACATTCCTCTCGTCTGTCTCCTCAGCATTGTCGTAGCTCAGTCCAGTTGGATTGTTAGTTGCTGACATTAGCTCGAGTCTCCACCAACTGCCCTACGACGATCCTCTCCACACGACGATCCACCCTATACGCACATCCAACTCTCACCCTAACTCCTAACCCTACCGAATTTTACCACATCAAGATCTGAACCCCTGGAACCCTTCTCCGTGCACTTGCACAACTTTTACCACATCACATCCCTGAAGTCACCTCTGTAATCACTAGCCCTTAGGCGGCTAGACAGAGCTCTGTCCAATTAGAATCGTACTTTGCCCTACCATAGGCAGAGTTACACGCTTTGCGCAGTGCAAGCAGATATTCCCAAGTACGACATGGCAACCGGTTGCGACTGGGCATCGGAAAGGCGGTAGCAGTTAGATCGACGATCCCATTCCGGGCATCGGACCGAAGAGACATAATCGCTCTTTGGGCTGCTACAGTATCTCTAGATCTGTATCCTAAATAGCGTTTTCGGTTCTTTGTCGGAAATATCCATCTTGGGCAACCTCTACCCCTGATCTGGTTGTTACAACACGATTGGTCCCAGGGTTTGCTGCAATCAGCCTCACAGACCTATTGACACATGACCACGCCCTCTTGTGATTGCAGAGGATACACACATCGGGTACTAGAAGGAAGATTCATCTACAAACGCAGCGATAATGTATGATACTGTGTGCAACAACCGTGCCCACATTCACCACAAAATAGTACCCGTTGTCCACGGTGTGAAGAAGAATTACGAGGGGAACTACTAGACAGAGTCACTACAGGAGAACCCAACAAATCCCTCGCAGCCCCTCAACCAATAGCGTCTGGCTCAGAACCCAGAGAAAGACGTGATACCTTCGATTCGGTCACCGAGTATCTCTGATCAATCGTCCTCGGAGAATCCGAAGTATCACCAGAGGGTCCACCAGACCCCGTAGAAGAAGCCGTAGAAGATTCCGAAGCATTGAACCCGCCTTTTTGACGTTCTCCCACTCCACCCTCATCTCCATCTGATCCCGGCACAATGGCCAAAAACTAAGACAATGCCGCTTTCATCAATGGAAGTGCAATGAAACCCGATGCCTTTGATGGCACGAAATCCAAGTACATCGCTTGGAAAACCCAGATGAAGCTTTACGTAATAATGCAGAGGAAGCGACTACCTGAGCAGTTCGACAGGGTCTTAATGATCTTGTCCTATATGAAAAGAGGACACGTGGGCGAATATGTAGCCACGTACATGAAGAAGTACGATATGAATGAAGATACCGTAATCCAGACCACGAAAGATCTATGGAAGGATCTGGACGTACACTTCCTAATTGACGAACAAGTGGAGGCATACGATAGGCTGCAGGCAATGCAGATGGAAGCACTATCAGCGCAAGAGTTTTTCTCGAAGTTCGAACTATGCGCCTTCCAGGCAAATATCCACGACTTCAAGGCGCACTTCCAAGAATTAAAATTGCTTCTAGAAAAAGCACTGCGGGCCGATATCATCCGGCTTCTGTACAATTCTTTGGAAGAACTCCTGGCCACCTACGTGCTCTACAAGCAACAGGTCCTGTGCATCGACCTGAAGCAACAATACGGTAGACGAAATCTGCAACCCCAGCGACAGGGGCAATTTCAGCCGAGACAGCAACAGGCGCAGAACACACTGCGAGCACAAACTAGTGCATCTGCGCCAGCAACTTCCACCGTGCCAGTTCAGACACGGCGCGACGGAACCGGTGTTACCTTTGGCGGCAGGGGACAGCCAATGGAATTGGATCAGGCACGACGCCTAGGCCTCTGTTTTCGATGTGGTGAAAAAGGTCACTTATCGCGCAATTGCCTGAATCGGCAACAAGCCCAACAAGTACGGCCGCGGAAACCCCGGCAGTTCCCACTGCCAATACATTCACACCACTCACGTCGCTTAACGAAGCACCTGCAGTGACAGCGGAACCGTTTGACTGGAAAAAGGCAATCCACGACGAGATTCGTGTGGTAATAAAGGGTTTTGCAAGCGGTCAGCTGGGCACTGTCGTGGGCGTAGCCCCGGCCTCCTATTTTATTCCCATTTTCTCCAATTTATTCCACGATTATACGACCCTCCAAACGTTGTCGGCGCATAGGCGCCAGTTTACAAGCCATAGCCGCGCGCTAAACACCTCGAGAACGCATCACCAACGGGCACGCATCAGCGCATCAAATGCGCCTGCATCGCCGCCGCCTCGTCGCCGCATCATGCTTCCTCGGTAACAGCCGCACTCCGATCTCCATCGGACATCCAATCCCCGTCGGCCTGACAACGTCATAAGCCATGACACACCGGCCCCGTCTATCTCCGAGTCCGATCGGCAACAGACTTCCTATCCCCGTCGGCCCGACAACGTCATACGGTATGACACACCGGCCCTCGTTTCCTCGCCTAAGTCCCCTAGACACTAGCAGTCGCCGTAGCACCAGTCGCTTATGTAAAGCCTGGTCCGTGCGCAACCTGACTAGTATATAAGGCTCCCCTTTGTCGCTACCTAGCCCCATCTCAACCTCTTGGTTAATTGGGCTAGGTAAGCCTTCACTTGTATCGTAGTACAGATTGCTAATACACTTGGTTAATTGGGCTAGCTGAATAAGCTAACGCACTAGTCGCCAGACCTTGTCGGCGCCGCCTTCTGATTAGATCCACGTAGTATCCCTCGTGGTGTGTCGACGCAAGTCCACATCAGGCACGTAGCCGAGTTGACCGAAGAGAATTTTACGAACTATCTGTGTTCTTGGTTTGGAGTTTCAATGTATATACAAAAGAAAGGGGTGTCTGTAGAACAGCGCGGAGAGGCTCAACCCTCTTGCTTAATTCCCCTGAATAAAAAATTACCTCCTACCTCGAACTAGACTGAACCTACGCAGTGGCAACACCACACCCCATGGACAGCAGCCTGGATCCGCCAATGGATAGTCAACAAAGAAACAGCAGCGCTTAGAATGTTGACCAAATGGGTACACTCAAAGAAGAGTGTTGATGCCTCAGAAGCCTGTATGAACCAAATTAGGCAGATGAAAGAAGAAGAAGCAATAGACTTCTTGAATGAGTTATGAAAGCAACCTTGATTCATCCGAGGAAGGAAGGGAACACAGATGAACGTCCCCATGATCACCACCACCCTGGACACACAACAACGCTCATCAGTCAAAGCACTATTAGACACGGGATGTACCGGATCATCTATTGATGTGCAGTTTGTCCACAATAACAACATCACTACAAAGAAACTGCCATCACCAATCCCTGTCTACAATGCAAATGGCACGCATAATGCTGGCGGCGCTATCACCGACTTTGTCAAGTTAAGGGTTGAAATTCAGGACCACATTGAACGGCTTCCTTTCGCCGTTACTAATCTAGGAAAGACTCCAATCTTCCTAGGATATGAGTGGCTCCAAATTCATAATCCATCTATTGATTGGCAGGAACAAGTCATTCAGTTTGATTGGTGCCCAATCATCTGCAAATACGCGGCCCGATTAATTGATATTGATGCCAATCAAGAAGAGCCCAGCGATCCGGAGGCTCGCCTAGAAGAAGGGGATAGAATCTTTATTCTAGACCACAAAACCTACTTTGCTACGAAAGCAGCGCGTATTCGCACCACGGCCACTGATCTAGCGATCAAAGAGAGTTTGAAACACGAAACCAAGACCTTTGAAAATGACATCCCAAGCCACTATCACGATTACGCCAACATATTTAGCAAAGAAGATTTCGACTCTCTACTGCAAAGACGACCATGGGATCATGCAATCGAACTCACACCAGGCGCGCAACTGATCAGTTGCAAAGTCTATCCTATCTCCGTAAACGAACAAAAAGAACTTGATGAGTTCATAGAAGAGAACCTCCAAACTGGGAGAATCTGACCATCGAAATCCCCGTGGGCTCCTCTGTTCTTCTTTGTCAAAAAGAAAGATGGACGACTTAGACCCGTGCAAGATTATCGGAAGTTGAATGAGTTGACGATTAAAAATCACTACCCACTTCCTTTGATACAGGAACTAGTGGACAAGTTAAAGCAGGCACGGTAATTTACGAAACTAGACGTCCGATGGGGATACAACAACATCCGCATCAAAGAAGGCAACAAAGAAAAAGCAGCGTTCCTAACGAATCGAGGACTATTTGAGCCGTTAGTAATGTTCTTTGGTCTTACCAATTCCCCAGCTACATTCCAGACTATGATGAACGACATATTCCAAGATCTCATCAGTCAAGGACACCTGGTAGTCTACTTAGACAACATTCTGATCTTCACTCAAGATTTGAAAGAACACCGTCGGATCACGCGGCAAGTTCTTCAGATTTTAAGAGAACACAAACTTTATCTGAAACCGGAAAGTGTGAGTTTGAGAAATCAGAGATAGAATACCTCGGGATGATAGTAGGAAAAGGAGTTGTCCACATGGACCCAGTCAAGATAGAAGGAGTTGTCAATTGGCCTCGACCAGAGTGCAAACGAGACATTCAAGCATTCCTTGGATTCACCAACTTCTACTGAAGGTTCATCTGAGATTATGGCAAAATAGCAAAACCGCTCAGTTCACTAACGGGCAACGCTACCTTTGAATGGACCGTCAAACAAGAAGTAGCATTCACAAGCCTGAAAAATGCTCTCTGCACAGCGCCAGTACTGGCTATACCCAATGACAATGACTCCTACCAAGTAGAATGTGACGCTTCGGACTTTGCCATAGGAGCAGAGTTAGCCCAGAAGCAAGAAGGCAAATGGAAGCCTGTCGCTTATCTGTCCAAAGCCATGACAGCTGCCGAAAGAAATTACAAGATTTACAATAAGGAACTTCTCGCAATCATGACTAGTCTTGATGAATGGTGTCAATACCTCATGGGCGCCGTACATCCGTTTGAAATATGGACGGATCACAAGAATCCAGAATACTTCCGAAAGCTGCAGAAGCTCAATCGGCGTCAGATCCGAAGGGTAACTGAATTAGCTGAATATCAATACTCGTTGCATCACAAACCTGGGAAATCTAATTGCAAGGCAGACAGACTATCCTGTCAAAAGCGACACAATGCAGGGAAAGAGGACAATTCTGATATCGTGCTATTGAAACCAGAACATTTTTGTGCTTTAATCTGTAGTACTGTATTTAGTTTAGAAGGAATCGACCAGGACTGGGTTGTGGAAATTAAAAAATACAAAAAGAACTGAGATTCGCTAGTTACCGTAGCTCTACAGAACAAGGACAAAGACTGGAACGAAGATAGTACCAGACTCGTGACATGGAAAAACCGTATTTACGTACCGACAAACAGGAGACTCCGTGAACAGATCATTGTTCATCATCATGATACCCCAATGGCCGGACACCCCAGTCAATACAAAACACACAAAATGGTCACGCGAAATTACTGGTGGCTTAGAATTTGAGAAGACATCCGGAAGTATGTTGCTGGATGCGAGAAATGCCAGAAGACCAAGGTTCACACGACACGACCTACTGGACTTCTCTTCTCCAACAAAATTCCTACGTGACCCTGGAAAATAATCTCGGTAGATAAGATAGGAGTACTACCGGAATCTTTCAGGTACAACACTATTCTCGTAGTCGTCTGCATGTACTCCAAGCAGATAATTGCAATACCAAGCAACATTGAACTCAATGCCGAAGGATGGGGAAAAGCACTTCATGATCACGTGGTGGCACATTATGGACTACCCCAAAGATCATCAGCGACAGGGGGACTGAATTCAAGAACAAGTTCATTTCTGAACTGTACCAATTGCTCGGGATCGAAGCCAATCCTTCCACCGCGTATCACCCTCAGACAGATGGACAAACAGAGCGTATCAATCGTGAAATAGAACAGTATCTCTGACTATTCATCAACTATCGACAAGCCGATTGGGCCGAATGGCTGCCGCTCGCAGCATTCTCGTATAACAATAAAGTTCACTCATCTACCAGATATACCCCATTCTTTGTTAACAAAGAGTACCACCCTTACGAGGGAACCCAACCAGTACGAGAAGGACTATGTGTAAATGTACAACAGTTCATCGATAGAATGAATTGAGTACGTGAAAACACTAGCGCGGCCATCAGTCTAGCGCAGGAATCCATGAAACGCTTCTATGATAGAAAGAGGAAAAGCGGACCAGAATACAAATCTGAGGATGAAGTTTGGTTAGAAGGGATAAACATCCGAATGGACAGGCCAATGAAGAAGCTCGACGATAAGCGGTATGGGCCCTTCAAGGTCAAACACAAAGTCGGTGTTTCTGCCTATGAGTTGGAACTCCCACGTCAATGGAAACAACACCCGTTTTTAATGAAAGTCTCCTTAGCCCTTTCAAAGAACCTACGTACCCCTCACCTCGTAAATGGCGAGGAAGAATGGGAAGTCAAAGAGATCCTTGACTCCTGCCGTGACCAAAATGGAAACCTTGAGTATCAGGTTCTCTGGAAGAACAGCTCTCACGGTGATCGCCGTTCTTGGGAATCACGGGCAAACTTGACCAATTGTCAAGAACTCCTTCAGGAATTCCATGCGAGACGTCCTGACAAACCTGCACCTATGACAATTAGAATTCCCCCCCTATTGACACGACCTGTGCACATACTCACGCACGATGCCACTCTTCTGGTGCAACGTATGGGCGGAATTCTTCCCAAACCCGGATCAGAAGAAGCCGCTGGTCTTGACCTTTACTCAGCCGAAAACGTTAAAATACCGGCACGAGATTGTAAAATTGTCGGCACCGGCATAGCAATGCGAGCCCCTCACGGAACTTATGCACGGATCGCACCGCAAAGTGGGTTAGCGGTTAAAGAGATAGATATTGGTGCAGGAGTTGTAGACCGAGAAGTAAGCGTAGTGATGATCGAGAACGTCCGACCAATTGGACAGCAGGGCTCAGAGCCCTCTGTGAGCCCTCAAGCGCCCATTCAGACCGCGAGCCCTCAGACGCCCATTCGCTTTTCGTGCGAGCCCTCTGTGAGCCCGGCATCCTCGAGCTAGGCCTCCCGTCCGTCCGGAACACGTGGTCGCCACCATGGCGGCCCGCGCCTGCGCAGCGCCGCCGCCGTCGCGTCCCTTTGACCTCCATCGTCGCCGACTCTCTCTCCTGCCTCCTCCCCATGCCAGACACCTCAGACAGCCCCGCACAAGCTCAATGCTATGCAAGTGTACTTGGACAGTGTCAGAACTTGGGCGATTACGTCATTGCCCTGTACGGACAAATGGGGATACATCACATGACCCCTGATTATGTTGTAGTAATACGGACTAGATTACTCATGCTTACTGTACACGCTTACATACAGGTAGTACCATAGGTCCCTTAGCGGTATCAGGAGTCCTGACTCTCATGTATATATACTGGCCTTGTAGCACAGAATACGATAAGAGTTCAGTCGCACTTTAACAGGTTATGAGCCCCGGCCTCACGGCCACTCTACCCCCACTCAACTAGTCTCATTGCTGAAGAAGACCCCTCGGGAAACCTCGGTCCCCTTCACCCAGTTTAAACAAAGTTTATCCACGCAGTTTACGAGTAAGTCTCGTTGCGTGCTAGTGGCAGACGGAGCGCTCACGCGTTCATTCCTGCGTAATTTCTAGTGCCAAAGGATTTGCCCGCTCGTCCCCCTCACTCCGTTTT